TAATAATAGTTTAATAATATGTAAGTGATTCAAAGTTAAAAGTTTCTCTTGTAAAAAGTTCAAACATCTGCGAGATCTGTCGAAGTTCATTTAATCATTTGACATTATCTGCAACATGACCTGTAAAAACGAGTCTTGTAAGCAATGAGAATGTTTTATGATATGAATATATTTTGTGCAGTAAAGAGTAACTTAATAGTTCACAATGTACTTTTATTAAAATGGGGGCTCCATTATTTATCTAAATTAATTGTTAATTTTTGAGAAAATACTATTTATGAATAATTAAAATTTAATTCAAAAAATTATTTTGTACATGTTTATTTTTTATACTCACAAACATATTTTCTTCTATTTTAATTCTGTATTGTTCCAACAGTGACAGTATCTTACATTTACAAATTAAATTAACGGTTCTGTAGAATTTTACATTGGGCTTTAATTGCGAAATGAGTGTTTATAACAGAGCGCATCGTATTTTAAAATGCAATCGTGCTATATCATAAATTTAGGGTACATATGTACAAAATGAAGACCATAAAAGAAAATTGCAATGCCAGCTGTTGGTTTCCTTGCACATTGCTCTTATTATATGCTAGCAGTTAATCGATACAATGTGCAGGTACCAATTACATTGCCTTCTGGCCTCTGCTTCTACATGCAGGTATGTTTTAATTGTAAAATAAGTAATACAAGTCAATATCGTTATTGCACATATTATATTCATGAAATAAAACAATTACATTGAGAATATACCATTCTACTGACGCTATAAAATATTACATTAAATATACCATATCAATAACAATTCCTTTAAAAACTGATTAACTGAAAACATACCTTCCATGATATTTGTAGTTACAAAATTCTTGAGGGGAAAACATGCCTATATGGGATATTCAATGTTCTAATGTTACATGCACATATTTCCTTAAAATAATTTCTTAATTGGCTGATTCACATGCATCTATCCAATCATTGTAAACATCAATTGGTTCGGAAAGAAAGTTGATTTGTGTTTGAAAATCCTCTAAACATACCCGACACGTTATCTGAGCTGTATTTCGACCTTTATCCCTAAAATTTATAAATAAATAAAGAAGCTTTAAATGGCTTGCACTTACATTTTTACATCACACGATTTTTCGTGGTTACAAAATGGGCAATTAAACTGTTGATCTAATGGTTCCACTGGTTTCCTTTTCGGTGGTGGTTTTCGTTTTGATTTACGCCTTCCCATAATACTATATGATTGTTTTCTGTAAAATTCAAACTGCAAAACTGTGAAAAATACGGAGTTGACAAACAGCTTTGTAGTGTTTATTTTATTTTTGTAGACTCCATTTTGGATTGTACGTACTTGGCATAAACCATAGACATGGTTTGTTAATAAGCAATCGCCAATTGCATTATGGGAGTACATAGTTGCGATCAGTTATTGCTACGAAACTATTTGATTAGTTTAATTAAAATAGTATTTAGAAGATACTTCAGCATGCCTTTTAGACAAAGCATAATATTTTAATATTCCGTTCCGATATATTAAAAGATTTTTATATGTAGGCATTAACGTTAAATGACCAGTGCATACAGCATTGTACATCTATGGTTTTCTTTTCAAACGTTCATATTTATGCTTATTATTTGTTGTCTGTCACTGTGAGACAATTCCTGTAATTGATTAATGTTATAGGGTCGTGGAAGTCCTGTCCATTCCAGAATAAACCAATATAACACTGTGGAGCGTTCTTCGAAGTAAGCATGCATTTTTTCCACTGGAAAGAGAGGTGGTGTGATTGTTAATAGAAATATTGATAATGAAGTGGTATGTAACATCATTATTTTTATATTATTGAAGTAATTATTTTAAAGGTGGATCAGGATTTATATAAGAATTACATTGACTTAGTGTAATTGAACGCACCTATACAATCTTCTGATATCTATGCATCATTGGTATAGAAAGAATTTTCATCTATGGGACGTCCGATTCATCGCATCTCGAATCTTGCACATGCATTTGTCTATGGCTTGCATTCTTCCACGAGACGACTACAAAGCGCCATTTATCTGTCCAGAAATAATAACTACATCTGAAGGTATTTAGCCCTAATCCTTATTCGATTTTAATTTAATTGTGTAGAATACGTTTCTATTTAATAATTGGTGGGTTTTAAATACCGTTGTTTAAATTTTTTTAGCGTACATGACTTCGAGGGCGTGTTGATTTCATGTTTCAATGTTAGGCATCTTCCCTGCCCATGCATCTGTTGTGTATTTTAATAGATTAATAGTTTTGGGATTAACTAATGAAGCTTTTGTTAGAATTTTTGAATTTTGATAATAGGTTTAGACGATGATTGTAGATTTTTCATATTGGTGTGACCACGCCGAGAGGATTTGCTTTCGTTTTGTAGCCAAATATGTAAAATATTTCTTAATATTATTATTCTACTTTTAAAATTCTAAATTTCTTTCAAAAAGATTTTCATTTTTGCGTTGATTTCTACAGATTAGGTTTTGACGACTTGTTTTTTTTTCTTCTGTATATAGACTTGCTTTGAGATGATATCCTTGGATTCAATGGACAAGCTACTTACCGATTTGTAGCAACCAGACATATTTTTATTACCAAGAAAGCTTGTAACGAGCTGGTCAAAACAATCATAAGATACAGGGTGCTTACAATGGTAATTATCATTAATAATAAAATAATAACAAATCTAGTGAACATACAACTAATGATATTAAATTGTTTTAACAGGTGTCTATTAAATCATATTAAATGTACATGGAGAGGATTAATCAAAGGGGAAATGTGGAGAAGCACGGTCTCCAATCATGCTTGTTTTGGGTGTTTATGCAAATGGGTTGTTTGTGGAAAGGGTAAGAGTAAGAAGTCTTTAATAATTTTATGAAGTTGCACTTACGAAATGATTCATGATTTTCCAAATCTTGCATTCCATTTGTTTGACAATAATTACCGCTATAATTTTTTACACTTCTGAATTGTAATAGTTATGTATTGATTTTGATAGTCTACTATTTGATTAATGTTAATTAGGGTTTTTAATATTTTAAAACATGATATTTAAAATGAAGCTCACATTAAATTATTTCAACAGGATGCCATTTAAACATATTAAATGAAGAAGGAGACAAAAAGTAAAAAAGGATTCAAAACATGGAGAATTGGAGCCCCTTTAATGTTCCCGCCCCTTGGCTGTGAAAGGTGCGATTTTTAGAAAATACATGCAGTCCGATTTACGCTGATGCATATAAGATTGCAATGCTATGTGTGGTTATTGATAAGAGACACTTCTCTTTATCAATGCTTAGGAATAAATCTCGAGTACCGTAGAGTAATCCTCCAGATAATCAATTGTTTTTCTATTATATTGAAGTTGCTTAGTTTTCATAGTAATTTGCGATCTGTGGCATCTATGGTTTTACTTCCAACAGCCATCTATTGTTTACTGAATAAATCGATGTTATCGTGCATCTATGGGGTTCTCTTTTAACTCTCTATAGTCCACTGTATAAATTTACATCGTACATCTACGGTTATTTCTATAACCTTTAACATTAATCTATGACATGAATAAAATTGACATCTCGTCACCATTTTATAATAAGCTGTTTTGCTTTCGTTTTTGTGCATGTTTTTAATTATATTACATATTTTACTTAATTTAAACATTCCTTCTTTAGTTGTTAGTATAATTAATATTTCTTTTTGCTCATCTCTACAGATCATCTGACAAATGAGAGAGAATTAAAGTTCAGTTTGTGATGGTACTGAAATAATATCTACAATGGTGCTGCCTTTGCTGTTTTCGTCTTCACCTTGCAACGTTATGCAGTTAATTTTCAAGGGATGAGTGAGAGCAACTGAAGATTTATGCGAATTCTACTGAAATAACAAATTTTCTGCATTGGCATTCCTCTTGGATTTGATTTGCTTTTCACACCTGCAAACTTTGGAACATTACGGTCTACAGTTAATTAAGGTGAGAATACTTGATATAATTAATTTTAATTGCTCCTTATTAATCTGTTACCACCGTAT